AACTTGAAGCGTTTCTTTCCGACGATGTGCTTTCAATTGGGTAGACTACCGCTTTGCACCGATATGTGGTTATGAGTGGTTCAATGTGAGGGAGGGAGACTGGCACTGTAAGTGAGATTGATTTGTTAGCTGGGGTAAATTGCAGGGTCCCGAAGCTCGAGAAAGCTGGCCCCACCAAATTCCGTTCCATGTGGCCAGCACAGCTTCAACATCCAAGCTCAAGCTTCCAACTGCAAATCTACAATCGCCACCCAAAAGGCAGGCGCGAGACCAGCGCAGAAGCCTCACGAATATAGAAACATCATAGAAGGAGAATTCCGCATACGAAGAAATCTCAATGAATCCGACGACCCACCGATAACGACGCCATCCGAAACCGTCCTCGAAAGACCACCACCACCACCAAAATGGCGACCCCCGATCTCTCAACCCTCACCTCCTCCGCCCAAGTCTTCTCGTCAACCTACACCCTCCCGCAGATCCGCGGCATCCATAGAGCCCTCCATGTCGAAATTGACGAAAAGGCGAGCCGCCTGCGCACTCAGGTCGGCAGCTCTTACCGCGACCTCCTCGGCACTGCCGACACAATCGTCCAGATGCGCAAGGACAACGACGCCGTGCAGAACGTCCTCGGCGGTATGGGCGGGCGCTGCGGCCGCGGGGTAGTCGGGAAGAAGGTGACGGGCCTGGGCGGGTTCGAGCGGAGCGCGAGGGAGCTGGGCGGCAGCGGCAACGGCGCCGGCGGTGGGGCTATCGGCGTGGTTGCCAGGGCGAGGCTGCTCGAGGCCTGCGGGCTCGTCGTTGGACGCGTGCTCCGGGGCTCCGGGGCCGCTGGTGTTGGGAGCCAGGATCTGAGCAAGGGTGATAGGGTCGTGCTTGCCAGCAAGGTGCTGGTACTGAGCAGGCTTTTGGTGAAGAGCCTAGAGGCGGAGAAGGGGGCTCTGCTTCTGGAGAGTGACGTCGGACACACAGTCGAGACCGCGAAGAAGAGCCTGGGCGGGCTGAGGAGGAGACTTTTGCGGAACATCGAAACCCTGCTGGAGCGGACGGGCGAGTCCGTCAAGCAGCAGGACGTCCTCAAGGCGCTCTGCGCGTACAGCCTGGCCACCAGCTCCGGCGCACGCGACGTCGTCAACCACTTCCTGCGCGTTCGCGGAGCCGCCATGGCGTTGGCCTTCGACGTCGAAGACACCAAGGAGCGGCAGAGGAGCACGGCGGACGTGCTCAAGAGCCTGACGCTGTACACCAAGACGCTGCTCGACGTGCAGGCCCTGGTGCCCTTCAAGCTGTCCGACGCGCTATCGAACCTCAAAAAGAACCCCTTACTGGCGGACGCGACGCTCAAGACGCTCGAGTGCCTGCGCCTCGACGTCTACGAGCGGTGGTGCGGCGAGGAGATCCAGTTCTTCACGCCCTTTGTGCGGCACGACGACCTCGACGGCCCGCAGGCGCGGGACATGCTCTTCGGCTGGGCGAAGCGTGGCGGCGAGGTCCTCGTCGACGGGCTCAGGAAGACGATGGAGCGGATGACGGAGTTCAGGGCCATCACGGAGCTGCGGACGAGCGTGCTGCAGCTCTGGATCCGCGAGGGCGGCAAGGCGCGCGGGTTCGATCCCTCCGAGATGCTCGACGAGCTGCGCGGCGCCGTCAACGGGCACATGCTCCGCGTCGTCGAGACCAAAGTCAACAAGCTCCACCTCGTCGGATCCGAGGTGTCGGCGACGCTGGACTCGTGGCAGGACGGCGTGACGGACGGGGGGGTCGATCTGTGGAACGCGCGCGGGTTCGACATCGACCTGATCCACGGCGCCGACCATTTCCTCCAGGAGCTCGTCGCGCGGCTGCACGGCCGCAACGACGCCGTGTCCAAGGCCGTCAGCGGGTTCCAGTCGTGGCGGCACATCATCGACGAGGTGGGCGAGGTGGTGGAGCAGCTCAAGCGGCAGCGGTGGGACAACGACGTTGACGAGATTGAGGACGAGGAGACGATCGAGGCGAGGCAGCAGCTGCTCAGCAGAGAGGACCCGCGGACGCTGCACGAGAAGCTCGACGCGACGCTGGTCAAGGCCTTTGCGGACCTGGACGGGAAGCTGGCGGGTCTCTGGCGGGCTAGGGAGGGTGCGCAGAACAGCGGCAAGGTGGCCATGTACCTCCTCCGCATCCTGCGCGACGTGCGCGAGGGTCTGCCGAAGCTCGACGCCGTCAAGCGGTTCGGGTTGGAGGTTGTCCCGTCGCTGCACGAACGGTTGTCCGTTACCGTGGCCGCGCAGCCATTAGAAACGTTCAAGGCCAGGGCGCTCACGCAAAAGACTGTTGTCGGGCGGCCGCTGTGGGAGGGGAGTCCCGAGCTGCCCACGCAGCCTTCGCCTAGGGTGTTCCAGTTCCTGCGGGACGTGTCGACGGAGATGGGCGATGCGGGTATGGATCTCTGGAGCGCGGTGGCCGTGGGCGTGATTAAGCGGCATCTCGGGACGCAGCTGGGCGAGATGTGGCTCGAGGCCTTGGACGCGCACCTGGCGGAGGATGGCACCGGGAATAGCTCTGATGTGAACCCTGACGATGGTGCCAAGGACTCGGTAGAGGAGAATGGTGACGACAGGGAGGTCGAGGCGTCTGAAGCAGAGAAGCCGGAGGTTCCTTCAGGCGAGGAAAAGCCAGACGACGCAAACGGAGAAGACGAAGACGAAGAGAAGGAAGAGAAATCAGAACAGGGACCAGAGACCACCGAACCCGCAGCAAAGGCACCGGCAAAGGCGGACGACGGCCTCGCCCAACAGCGTCGCGATCTCCTCATCCAATGGCTCTACGACGTGTCCTTCCTCCGCTGCTACCTCGATGCCCCCGCGGCAAGCCAAGACAACAACCTCGCGAGCCTGGAGGACAAGATCTTCAGACACACGGGCTTAGACGGCGACGGGGCGCGCCAGCGGATAAGCAAGTCGTCGCAGGAGTACCACAAGAAGACGAACCTGCTTTTCGGTCTCTTGTGAAGTTGAGAATTTGTATATAGATACCCCCCACGAGTAGATCATGGATGGAAATTCCCATCATATGCCGAGTCTAAAAGTGGTCCATGACATGATGAAGACGTTGCACTCTATCTTTCTCTCTTGAGACGTTCTATAAAGTCCCTTTACGATTCATCTCAATCTCAATCTCTACGCCAAAACCACCTCACAACTTATGCCTCTTCTCACCGCTCGCAATCTTCCTAAACTCCTCCTGCGGGATCCCCCTCATGAACCTCTCCAACCCAGCAAACACCTCCTGCGAATTCTGCCTATCCATCGCATCCATATCCGGCCGCCGAATCAGCGCCTTGATCCCCGTCAAACTATCCCCGATCAAATGCTCCCCCAACCTCTCGTCGACCTCTCTCAGGACCAGCTCCCTAAACTCGGCGTCCTCCCCCTTCCCCGTCTCAAACACCTTGTTCACGAACCCGGTATGCAGCAGCTCCTCCGCCGAGATCCGCTTGCTCATGATCAGCGCCTCGTTCGCCTTGGAGACGCCCAGCCTCTGCACCAGCGCGCGGGAGGCGCCGCCCTCGGCCACGAGGCCGAGCGACGAGAAGGGGGTGAGGAGGAAGGTGGCGGGGGTGGCGTAGACGAAGTCGGCGAAGGAGACGAGGGCGGCGGAGAGGCCTATGACGGGCCCGTTGAGGCCGACGACGAGGATCTTGGGGTGGGTGTAGAAGGCTTGGGTGATGTTGAGGTTGAAGGCGACGAAGGACTGGAGCCAGTGCTTGTGGGCTTCTGGGCCCGAGGGGGAGGCGCGGGCGATGCTTACGTCGGCGCCGCTGCGGTTGACTTCGGTTAGTACTCGTTCGGATTATTTCTTTGTTTGGATGGCTTGTAATTTCATCTTCTCATCCGGTTGATGCGCTTGGCTTGCAGGTTGGAATGGCTGTTTGAACAGCTTCAGTTTCTCATGAGAGTTTTGTTGGGGGGGGGGGGGGGGGGGGGTCGCAGCCGCGGTATGAGATCAAGCCGAGGTCCAATTCACCACAAAAGTTTACGGCAGTGATGAGCCAAGGTAGGAGAAGATGTAAAAAAACTCACGCAGAAAAGTAGCGTCCCTTGGCCGTGAGAACAGTGACGAAAACCTCGTCGTGCAGGGCAATCTCGCGGAGCTTCTGTGCGAGGTCGTAGTACTGCGGCTGCGCGAGGGCGTTGAGCTTGCGGTCGTTGTCGATTGTGAGCAGCGCGACGCGGCCGCGGTACTGGAGGGAGATGACGGAGTCCTCGGGGCTTGCCATTGTGATGTGTGTAGAGAAGAATCGTCTTGATCAGATGTGTGTGTTTTCTTGAAGCAATTGGTGTTGGTTCTTTCTTGTAGATATGAACTTGAAGCAATGAGATGTTGTTGAATGTGACACTTGAAGTGAGAATCCTAATCTACCCCAGGTAAGGTGAGCTAGGGGGGTGGCAGGTCGTCGGGTTTATCAAACTTCAAGTGGCCACTTGGGCCAGGGTGGGAAGGTCTGGCTACCCCGGACCCCACACTGCACCGAGATGCCTCGGCAGGTCGGGGTGGCATTGCGGGGTGCTAGCGCTCCATTGCACCCAACAACGAACGATACGTGCTTCATACAACTCTCAGCGCATTACATATCAGGTCCAATGTCATTCATAGTTGTTGTTGCTTGAATTCAAAATTTTAGACTCCGGGCCCCCTATGCAGCGTAGCGTTTTGTAATTATACGCCCATCTACTTCTTGAGAGTATCGCGTACGTAAGGTAGGTATGTGTATCGTCATGAGTGCCAGCTACAGCAGACTCCCATCATTCTTTGTAAACGTCCCCTGGCCACCGCCTCCTAAACCTCAAAAGGTAAGGAATAAAGCCCTTCTCAACCTCACCACAATGCCATAGAGGCATCCGCCGGAGGGTCGCTTTACACCCGTCTGCAAGCAATCAAACCGATCTGATCCTGATCGCCTCGCGAAGCCGCCTCCTCTCTGGTGTCCTCGGCTCATCACCGTCGCCCGCTTCACCACCCTAACGGCGTTTCGGCGCGACAGATCGGAGCTTGGGGAAGTTGAGCGGCAGCGCGAGCTTGGCCACGTGCGGGGCCTTGACGCCCTTCTCCTTGGAGGCGCCCTGCCTGACCTTGGCGCCAATCTCGAAAAAGTAGTTATTCATATCCTTCTGGTCGAGGCGCAGGTCCTCGCGCAGCTTGGACGTCTCCACCTCAAAGTTGTCAATGATGCACGCGACCGCGCAGCAGTGCGTGATGAGCAGGTCCATGTGGAACTTGCGCATCTCGCCGCCGTCGGAGAACTTGCGCCGGATGTGCTCGATGACCACCTGCGGCGCCGGCTCCATGCGCTCCTTGAGCTTATCCCGAGGCGGTATGCGCTTCGTGCCGCGCTGCTTGCCCGGCGTCGCCATGGTGTAGAATGTGAAGAGGAAGTAAAAGTAGCGCAGCAGGCGCATCTTGGTGATGTTACCCGAGTCGGCAATCTTCTTGACGCGGGCTGCCACGTGCCGAGAGTAGCAGAGAATCTCCTCGCCCTTCTTTGCCGGGTCGATCCAGTCCTTGACGGGGATCGCCGCCAGGATCTCGCGGCCGATGAATTCGTCGGGGTCGTAGACGTCCTGGATCGCTTCCGCTTCGAGGTTGGGCCTGGGTACAGGCTTGGCTTCGTCGACGACGGCCTGCAGCTGCTCGCGCGATGCCATTGTCGCGGTGACGCCGCCAATCTCTTGCAGGATCGCCTTTGCTGCCGTGTCGAGCTTCTCGGGCGCGCTGTCTCTTGATTTGCCGGGGGCGATGGCGTTGAGAGCGACCGACTCGATGGCCTTCTTCGCCTTCTTCGTACCGAACGTCTGGCCAAGGTCTTTCTTGAGATCGTAAAAGCTCTGCTCGGCGTTAGTGATTGTCTTTCAAGGACCCTTGTGTGGCGTGACTGGGCATACCTGGTAATCTGCCGGCGCTGTCATGGCCTCTTCTGACGCATGCTTTGCTCTGGCCACACCACGAACCACCATCTTCTTCGCCTCCACTACCTGAAGCTTGCCGGTCTCGGGGTCGTAAATGCCGACATAGTGCTTCAAGGCCTGCTGGCTGTCGCTGATACCGTCCTCTCTCGCTGTATAGTCCATCGTCTGGTGGGTATTGGAGTGCAGAACGAGATCCTGCGACACTGCGGGGGTTTTTGATCGTCGCTTAACGGATGAGGCATCTTGCTTGACGTATGGGTTGAACTGCACACCCTTCGCTAACCGGATACCGGGAGAGGAAGCTTCGAACTGTTAGCGATCGTCTGCGGCTGCAATTGAGAGGCAGACGGGGCCTAGATCGTCCGTACCTAGTACTGGCGGGCAGAGCTGAGGTCTCTGAAATGAAGAAACGACAACTGTGGAAGGCTCGGTGGCCTGCTTCTTTTTGGACTTGGATGAACCGTCGAGGTCGCGCTTTCTCTTTCGTGCACTTGCGTCCGTCATGTTTGCGTCGGTGATCGAGGTTTGTGCTAGGCTCGGGTAGTGATCTGCCGTTGGTGGGATGGCGACGGCCTCTGGAAATATTTTCTGTAGGGGTCCTAGGCCAGAGACAGACTGAGGTGGAGGGAAGAAAAAAAAAAGTCGGCAAACCGGCGTTGGATTATCCCTAAGGGGCAGGCGGTGTGTAGCCTAGCAGCAAGCGTGCGGGAGCGCCTCATGCCGGCGACCCCACTCGAGCTGGGTCGACAAAACGTCACAGCTCGGTTGTCGCACTCAAACTGACAGGATGAAATTGAAGAAATTAGGTGGGTTGAGCTTGCAGACGCTGCAATTGAAGCAAAGCGATGCACAAGATCAAACGATGTCTTATTCAGTTCACAGTCACTCAGATAGGGACTTTTGTTTTGGAGTTTTTAATTCACTTTTTGATTTTGTGAGGAAGCAATTATCTGCCTTTCAATTGTCGTGCAAGTCCTGATCCCAGTTCCAAATCCGCGTTGCGTCAAGACATCATGCTTCCTGCGGCCTTGTTCCATAAACACCGCGTCCTCATCATATCGTCATCTCGACCGATCATATTGTCGGGGTTTCCATTCTTCGTCGAATTCTCAATGCGTCTCCAGACATGCGCGCCGTTCAAATCATGACCCCAAGTCCCCTAGTTCCAATCCGTAGTGTGAATGTAGAAGTCTCGAGCGAGCCGAGACAGACTGAGTCGCTGGTGACGAATGCTGGCCATCGCATATCCGTTTTGGCGAGTCGCGTGAGTTGTTTACCGTCATCTCAAAAGATGGTCAGGTCGAGGGGAGGGGGGGCGAGTTGTTTATTTGCTGTGTTTCTGTCAGACCACAATCCTCGCATCAATGATATCGATTGGTAAACTTACGAGCGAGCCCTCATCTTTCTTCTCTTACGCTTGAGACGACGCACGCGCTTCTTTCTCCACTTAGCTCTCATCTTGAATGACGAAGCTGCGATATGTTAGTGATGGATTCGCATTGCGCGCAAATATCAACCCTGCCAATTGCTTGCCGAAAGCTCTTCAATCCCTCGCGGAATTGGCGCTGACGACATCGCGATGGGCGTGGCGGGCAGGGGAGGGGCGCAGTACTTACTCTTCCTTGGTGAGAGATGTTGGTGATGAAACTTCCTTCCTCCAACTGCAACGCGCCTGGAGGGGAAGTTTTAGTGGTTGAGCTCCGTAGGGCAGCCAACCCTACTACCGCATTATGTAATCCACACAGACCCCACACTGCCACCTAAAGCTCCTCGTCCCTCACCAAAGTGTTGGAACGTCCAGGACATGGCAGGCATGTAAAGTGCCTTCAATTGGCTTGACCTCACTGGTCCTCTGCCCTGACGGGAGCTCACTGACAGGCACTCCAGGTCCTCTGCTCCGTTCATCCCGTCCTCAGCTCCCATCCTGCCCCGCACCGGATCAACGCCGGCATTTACGGACCTATCGAGGCGGGCTATCCGGGTTCCACTTATGCCCGGAGTGGGGCCTGTTCCGGAACCGGGTGTATTGGCAGCGCTTGAGGCCGCATTCGCCCTTCAGATGACCAAAGCATGGAGAAAGACAAGATCCCACGAGCATTGCTTCACTTTTCTTTTCAGCTCATACCCGTACTCCGAGTCCCAGCTAGCCAGCCTTTCTGAAGTTACCTTACTCCAAGTGAAGGACAAGACTAAGCGAACTAAGCCCCTAAGGCGGTCTACGGGTGGGGCTCTCAGTGCAGTCTACTTATGTTTTGCAGTGCGAACACTGAATTGCATACGCTTCCATTCCTCTATGATCTGCGCATCATGCCATCGGAAATAATACAGGTAGTACTACACACGCAATGGGACTTCATCCTCACTGATAATCGCTGTGTCCCTTGGGCTCAACACCAGACATCTTGTCCGAACCGCCCTTCTTCTTCTCGCCCGCCTTACCATCACCCTTCTTCCCTCCCTTGGCCTCACCACCAGCATTTCCCCCATCCTCAAACCCAACAACCTCAATCGTCGTAGCGACGTTACCCCTCGTAGCCCGACTATACGGACAAACCTCCTCCGCCCTCTGCACAACCTTGTGCACCTCCTCGTCGCTCAGACCCTTGACCCGAACCTTCAAATTCACCCTGAGTCCCATATCAAGCTTCTTCATATCGCCCACGAGATGCACAGTCGCATCCACGACGCTGTCCTCGGGCTTCTTGGGCATCGTCACCCCCAAGCTCGCCGCCGAAGCGTTCATCGCGCTCTGGAAGCAGGCGCCGTAGCCCGCGGCGAAGAGCTCTTCCGGGTTGGTTTTGCCCTTGTCGCCGGCGCCGCCGAGGGCCTTGGCCATGGTCAGGTCGACGACGAGGTCGTCGCCCTGGACGTGGCCCGTTCGTGCGCCGACGACTTTGGCGTGGGCGGAGTAGAGGATTGGTGCGGTTTCGGTGTTGAGGAGACGGGTTTGTCGGTGTGCTGGTGGCGTGATGCGGGCTGCGGCCGGACCGCGGGAGAGGATCTGCGGTGCGCGCTGCGCCAGTCTGAGGGAGCGAATCGAGGCCGACATTTTTTGCGGATGGATGGTCTATCGAGTGCTGAGAGCTACACAATTTTAAGCAAGGAATATGAAGGATACAGAATTGAGGTGAATTGAGTAATGTGACTGGGTTTGAACAGAGAGAGCTCGGTAGCTTTGCAAGCTTTTTTGTTGACCTTATAGCTTCTCGCATTTGGAGCTTAGCTCTGGATCGTCTTGAGAATGTACCGGTCACCGGTGACGTATTGGATAAGGCACCACAGGTCGAGCATCTCAAGCCCCCCTAACGGACCACAAAGTCCTGAAGCTGACTCATCTGGGGCTTTCCAAACCAAAGAATTGCGAGTGACAAACATGGACGTTTCCAACATAGTATCTAAGGTATGTTAGCACAATATCTGTTTCCGTTCACGCCAAGTAGCTCAGGTACATTGGTTGTCAGAGCCATCAACTCAAATAGTCTCGAGACAAGGGCGAGGTTCTACCGCAACTCCGAACATCGATAGAAGCCACGTAGAAGCAGTTTCCAAGAGAGTGATCGGACAAGTTCATTTCAACCCTGTTAATGTACGAGGACATGATTCATGCTAATTTCACGACATGCACCTTTTGTAGAGCTCTTTTCACTGTATATCCTGACAGTCGCCTTGTTCACGAAGTAATGGAGACGAAGACAGAAATGAGAAGCAAGTAGCGAGAGTCTCCTGATGCGTAGGGTGTTATCTGGGAGATGGGGACTTGCTCTTCTCCTGCCGTTCATGTTGAGAATCAGACTTTTTGTTGTGCCGCGGTCGCTGCTACTGACTGCTGCATTTCAGTACATACGCCCCATATATGCAGCCGAGAGGCAAAAAACATGAAGCCCAGCCAATTGGTGGTGTTCGTGTACAATGATTTGTCGGCTCCCACATGACATGTTCAGATATTTGTAAACAAAGGTTCGTGTGTACTTTTGTCGTGTGTGTGTGTGTGTGTGTGTGTGTGTGCGTTTGCGTGTGTCTGTATGCGAAAGAGAGAACGCAAGTCAGTTTGATTTGTGTGAGTAAGGTAGTAGTCGTGTGTGTGTGTGTGTATGAGTGTGTCAGTAGGTATGCCAGCCGGCGCAGTATTCTGGGAATAGTTTCATCCCATCTCGTGCGTGTTTCCGGCTCTGCGGCAAGATGGCACTGGCCGCTCTCCTGCCCTCCCCCAATGCCCAAATCCCCCCATCCCCCAGTCTCTTCTCACACGATGCCCCGATCGGGGAAAGGTTGCAAATCCACACCAACTCGGGACAAAGTCGCGCTGAAGTTCTCCAGGGGTTCTTCGTGAGTGGCTCGGACGTGGGTGAGCACGTCAAGGGTGTTCTCGGGAAGAGAAGGGCGCCTGCCAACAGGCAAATCACCCAACCCCAGACAGGGATCATCCTTTTTTCTTCTGCATGTCTGTGATATCAGAGATTCCAAAAGAGGCTCTGGCAGCGGATGTCAAAACCCCCATTTCAGCACATGGAGGGTGTGGTGGTGGCCCACTCCTCTCGAGATGCCGAGGGACGTGTCGTTCTCTCTCGTCCCAGACTCTGGATGGAGGTCAGTACAAGAAGACGGTCATGACCCCACGAACTTGGACGGATCGGGCCAGCGAACCTTTTTACTCCATTCAGATTTCGTTCTCGACTTTGGTTCTTCCAATAAAACACACGGACATCTTTCACATTCTGTTGTGGTCCACCTACTCCGGAAAGAACAACATCTCGCAGTCGAAAAGATGCAGCCTCAAAGTAGTCTGTCGGCGCTTGCCGCCCTCGTCCCCATGGTTCTGGCCTTGCCTCAACAGCAGCCTCCCCCACCAGGCCCTCCAGCTGCTTGTGCACCGGTCAACATCATCGTCGCCCGTGGCAGTCTCGAGGCGCAGGGCGCCGGTTTGTTAGGCAATATTGCCATGAACGCGTCGATGCAGATTCCCGGCTCCGTCATTACGCCATTGGTGTACCCGGCACAACTCGACCCGTATCCGCCTTCCGTGTCGGCTGGTGTGATGAACATGACGACTCTTCTCAATCAACAGGCGCAGCAGTGCCCCCAGTCGAAGCTCGTTCTGATGGGATACTCTCAGGTATGTCTTTCTCGTGAAGTGAAGGCTCGGCGTCGCGTCTGACATGTCGCAGGGCGCACAAGTGTCGCTGGACACTCTTTGCGGTACCACGGATGGCCCGAACTTCAACACGACTGTTGCCCAGGCACCCATGGTCGGAAGCAAGAGTAAGTTTATAGACCTTTGATGCCGTGTGATGGTCATGGCCAGTTTGCTGACATGGCTCAATAGTCGCTGCCGTCGTCTTGTTCGGTGACCCAACCTTCATCGCCGGCCAGCCCTTCGCCAAGGGAACCTCAAAGAAGAACGGCGTATGTCCTTCAGACCTCGATCTTATCTCCGCTCTCGCGTGACTAAACATTGCATCACAGATCTTCCCTCGTATGGATCTCGGCCCATGCCAGACCCTGAC